TAACCAAAATTGAATTTAAATTTTTCCGTCCATGTTTGATGCCTTTTCTGTCCGAATTCTGCATTTTAAACTATTTGAATAGTGTTTATAATTGCCTAGCAGTTACAAATCTGTAACTACCAAACAGATTTAGAATATTGGTTACAGATTTGTTTGAATTCAAATTGCATCTATTCAAATCTGTTTCACACCTGTTCACTTCTTGTATGTATCTGTTCGGGACAGAATTTTTGCCTATAAATTCAGATCTGTTCCAGCAGTCTTGATATCCAAAAAACAGTCAGAAAAAATTCATTTTTGCAGTCCATATTTCTCCTTTGCATTTTATTCTTCATTCTAGTGTTAGAGAAAATTAAAGAGAGTATTAGAACACAAGGTTCTAGTTCGCCGAACAAATTTGTTTGGAGTGCTACTACAAATTTGTGAAGATCATTGTATCTTGGGAGATAGATGCCACTTAACCATAAGCACCGTAGCGGGGCGAATCTGTTTTAAGGACAGAGTGTCACACACTCGACTTGGTCTTTAAATTATTGATTCGGTTCAACAAAATAAATTCTGTAAGTTTTATTTTATTTTGTTTGAATTATTTTAAGTTATTTTATTTACACAGAAGATTGTTTCAACAAGGGGTGCCTTGCTTATATAGTCAGTAGTGCCCTCATCCTCTAAAAGTATCAATTCTTAGGACTCTATCTCTTTACAAGGATAACATCTATCTCGGACTCCTTTATCTAGATTAGAATGAACTCTTCTAGGGGTTTCATCTCTATCTAAACACATAGCCTCAAATCATTTATGACTCTTTTCCTCCATCCGAATATCTCAAATTCTATAATACCGCATCACATCTCAGTCACAGGTTAACAATTTCGGCAACTTGGCACCTTCACATAGCACCTCGGCTAACACCCTGGCCACGTAGACATCTCTACAATTATGTCCCAACATTTATAATTTTTGAACCATGCCTCAAAATTTTCCCTATTTCAAGATTTATACATAATTTAATGTGTAGATGTTCTGAAATAGGACAAGTGAAAAAAAATTACAACAAAAAATCCTTAAGCCTAACTTTTGGCATAGAAACCGCAACGATTATATTCAAAGTCAAAATCAAAATCTCAAAGTTAGTAAGTTGAGTTTTAATCTCTAAATTTTGTCATTATTTAATTAAAAAATTGCTCTATATCTCTCAAGTAGGACTGTTCGAGAAGGAATGTGTTTTTCTCCAATTCGCAATGGACTGATAGCACTTTTGGCACAATAGAATGGGCTAAAATGAAATATCAATTCTAATTTTGTATTCTCTCTTAATTTCTTTTTTAAAATTTTTATTTGGTACACCTTATTTAAATAGAAAGTCATTTTTATTCCAACAAAATGTGAGAATGCCAATTCTTTTCTTGAACTTAAGAAATAATAATTCAATTCCATATTAGATTCAACATTACCCCTGCAAATGTCGCCACCACCACTCTATTGCCACCACCATTATCACCACCACAACCACTAGTACCACCACCACATCGTCATCACCACCACTACTGCCACAACTACAACTATAACCACAATCACAACATGATCACCATCACCACTACCACCGCCGTTACTGCAACCACCACCTCACTACCATTGCCACTACTACATTCACAACCACCACACCACCCATCACCACCCTACTATCACCGTCTCCACTACCACCACTGCCATCACTATCACAACCACTACTACCACCACCATTACTAGAACTACTATTTTACTACCACTTCTTCACCACCACCACCACCACCACCATTGCCTTCGCCACCACAACTATTACCTTACCACTATATCACCACATTCGCAAAAACCACACCACTATCACCACCACCTTCACAAAAACCACACCACCACCATCACCACCATCATAAGAACCACCACTCTACTACTAATGCTCACCACAACCACTACACCACAATCACCGTAACACTACCTTACCACTACCACCAACGCGACAACAACCTACCACTACTACTAGCATGAGAACTACCACCACCACAACACTGTTACCACTACCACTAACACGACAACAACCTACCATCACCATCATCCTACTATCATTTCTTTCACCACCGTCGATGCCACTGTCGCTACCTCCACTACTACAACTCATACCATCACTTCCACAACTATCAACATTATCATGATCTAATGAATTTTTTTACTTGTTTATAAGTAGCTTATTAAACAAAATAATAGGGAAAAAAAAATAAATAAAAACTTATTTCATTTCATTATTTTAATAGCCATAACCAAACATGAAAATGAGAATTATCATTCGATTCTTATATCATTCCATGTTGGAAACCAAATAGTAGAATATGAATGGATATTCCATTCCATTCAACATTATATTCCATTCTAACCCTCATTTCATTCTATTTCTTCATTTCAAACATGCTTGAAAGTGTTGTTGGGGCTTCGTAGGGCCTTGGCCCCCACTTCAATGATCAAAACTATAGGACCAAGCACTTGCCATCTTACCAAAGTTCATCGGTAGTGGTGAAGGTGAAACTTAATTTCTTTAAAAGGTACAATGCCAAGCGCCACAAGTTGATTTTGACTCAGTCTCACCTCAGACCTCTGCCACGACAGAATGCTAGCCCCAACCTAGGTCAACAATCCTTCCCCAACCCCTACCCGCAAGCAACATTCCTTTTAGGGAAATCGAACTTGAAACCTCGCTCTTATACCAATTATCGGATCAAGTGCTTACCATCTCACCAAAACCCATAGGTAGTGGTGAAAGCCTTACTTTATTTCTTTAAAGGGTACAACGTCAAGTGCTACAAGTCGACTGTGATTCGGCCTTACCTTGGATCTCTGCCACAGTAGGATGTTGGCCCCAACCTAGACCAACAAAAACCATTCATTTTGTTCAATTATGTGGGTAAATTATTCATTAAAAAAAATTAGATTGATAAGATAATCGTAACCCATCAGATTTGTAAGTAATAAAATTGACGGTCTATTTTTAAAATTATCTTTGTTGTTCATTTTTTCTAAACAAATATCACAAAAACACGTGGAATTGGATCAATCTTTTTTTTTTGTTTTTTATTTTTTTTAAAATAAATGATCTACACATATTTGACCAAAATGAACAGTTCAACTTTTTGAAATGAGATCTGCGGAGAGTCCCATGAAGCCCAATAGCACCTCCTCCAGTCATTTTGTAGATTGGAGAGAACCCACACCCTTTCGAAGTATACATAATCAAAGATAAGCAGCTACACGTCATTCCTCAATCAATAGAAATTATCCCATGAGTCAAAAAGACCATGTGGTCAAGTAGCCATCCAATTGTACCGTGTCATTTCTGTACCATTTCCTTATTTTTAGCCTATGTAGTTTTTAAGCCCCCTTCAATTAATTAGGCACAGCGCGAATGTATAATTCTTGAAAGAAAACATAATCACTCAAACCGATTTTGCTATCATAACTCATCTAGTACATACCATACCATACAAGAATTTCGTCATGATTTTGTAGACAAATTACAAATAGATCTTTTAAGATTTATTTAAAATACGAATCACTCTTTATAGTTTTAAAAATTATATTTTATTCTAAAAGGTTTCTAATTTCATATAACAAATAACTCTTTTATTCATAAATCATCAATTCAATTAATAGTTTTTAATGATATCAGAAATATATTTTAATTAATTATGTAATTTTATTATTGTATAAGAGGGCAGTTATGAATTTTATTTTTTCAGTTAATTTTGTTTAATAAAAAATTCTGACAAGGAATATTTATAATTTTACAAATTATAGGAGACAATTCATATTTAAACAAATCTCAAGAAGTATATTTACAATTTACCTGCTTCTGGTCTGCATCAATGGAGCAGACAGACCTAAAGTTGATTATCGGTTGAAGTACTTTCTCTCTCTCACACACACACGGATCATGCTTCTATAGACATGGATCATATACAAATTTTAATATTTGTGGAACTGATTATCATAAATATCATAATAATAATAATTATTATTTTTTCATTCATAACTTAAAAAAAATAATGAATCATAATCACACATTACATAAGGTATAATAATTTTTTTTTTGGATCATAACTAAAATAATAATCACAATAGGTCATAACAAATATTATAATAAGTCATAATTAATGCCACAATAGATTATAACCAAATACCACAAATACCATAATTGGAGCGTATGCATTTTCCATATATAAATATAAATATATATATCATACTTGCAATAATTTCATGGGTAATGCGGGAGGAGTGGGTATCATTGAATTTCCTCAAATATCATAATCAAAGATTACAAAAGTCGTAACTAGAGGTGTATAAATGAGTGTGTATTATAAAATTTTCCTAATTTCATATTTGGTGCAAAATGAATGTTTGACAACTCCACTGCAGAAAAACAACATTTGAAAATTTCAGATGCTGCCCATTATTCATTAATAATGCACAAATCCAGAGTTCAGGAAGCTACAAATCCTCCTCACAAACAATTCTCACCCATCCCATCATGTAAACTATGGGAATACCCAACAGCAAAAAATAATAAATAAATAAATAAATCCCTGCAGATAAAAACAATAATTTTATGGATACAAAACTAACCACAGAAAATACAAATGCAATTGATGTATGTGGTTGGTTCTGACTCGATAAAATTATTGAGATATTAATGTACAAAAACAAATGTTGAGCATGAGACCTGCCAGTCAGCATCATTGGTCAATTTTAGCTTTGTCCTTGGTAGTCACAGACCATATATAAATATAAATATATATATCATACTCGCAATAATTTCATGGGTAATGCAAAAGGAGTGGGTATCATTGAATTTCCTCAAATATCATAATCAAAGATTACAAAAGTTGTAACTAGAGGTGTATGTATAAATAAGTGTGGATCATAGAATTTTCCTAATTTCATATTTGGTGCAAAATGAATGTTTGACAACTTCACTGCAGAAAAACAACATTTGAAAATTTCAGATGCTGCCCATTATTCATTAATAATGCACAAATCCAGAGCTCAGGAAGCTACAAATCCTCCTCACAAACAATTCTCACCCATCCCATCATGTAAACTATGGGAATACCCAACAGCAAAAAATAATAAATAAATAAACAAATCCCTGCAGATATAAACAATAATTTAATGGATACAAAACTAACCACAGAAAATACAAATGCAATTGATGTATGTGGTTGGTTCTGACTCGATAAAATTATTGAGATATTAATATACAAAAACAAATGTTGAGCATGAGACCTGCCAGTCAGCATCATTGGTCAATTTTAGCTTTATCCTTGGTAGTCACAGAAACTCAGTTCTTCTTCTTCTACTGTTGCTCCCAATAAATCAATTTCATAAACTGAAGGAAGGGTATAAATAATTATCAGTTACCATTCCTCCTCAAGTATGCTAATACGCTTAACCCGGCAAGTAGTGCAGCCCCTGCAGCTACAGCACTGTATGCTGAAGCCCACACATCCGATTGAGCATACTCTACACCTCCAGATTGTGATCCTCTCCTATGACCTTGTGTTCCTGAATGATCTAAATGCAACTTTAATACCTGTTAAAAAAAATTTAAAGGAAGGTTAAGGAGAAAAAATATTTGCATTGGGTAACTTGGCTTCCTTCAGTTTACTAGTGAAATAAGCACCGAAAGGACCATTCTTACCTTCCAACCGGCTAACCTTGCATGGTCCACAGCTGCAACAAGATCACTATCTGACGCAAGTACAACGTTGTCATGATCTTCATCTTCATACTGAAAATGTGGTTGTCCATGAGCTCATAAGTAGAAACTGAGAATCCAAATAAGAAATGAGATATTGATTATATACCAAAATATGAGGCAAGTTGTTGCGGTCAATTTCATCCCCCACCCTCTGAAGGATTGCAGTCACAAGATCAGTCAAACTCCGTGTATCTGAACTCCAGAACCAGTTTAGAGAAATTCAGTTAAGAGATGTTAATTCTTAAGATGTGGATAATGGAAGTCTAAATTAAAGATAAATGACAAATCAGTAACGTCTAGCCAAAATGATAAATCTAACTAGTTCTATCAGTAGTTTCTTATAATAGAGATCCAAAGGTTCAAATTCTATGCTGCATTTATAGAATGCATGCCGACGTGACAAGCAGAAGAAGAGGCATACCACAATTGAATCTATGCATTCGACCCTTCTTATCTTGAATTTTGAAAGCAAAGGTATTCGGCACGATTGACGAAGGGTAGGGAAGTGATCTTGTTGTCTCCATGCTTTCAGAAGCCAATTTGAAAGAACTATCACTGAAACATGACAAATAATATGCATGTAAAATAAACACATACAATTAAAAGTGTAATATCATCTTAAGAGCAAAAGGTGTTTAACCTTTCTGCATCTTCCTCCTCATCAGGAGATAATGCCATAGCAGAATCCCAAAATTTTTGCATCATATTGGCTGACGAATCATTACTAACCCCCGCATTGCTTCCCACCTAAAGACAGCAGGGAACGGTGATACCATATTGTTCTCCACTAATTAAAAGAAATACTGGATTTTGAAAAAGGAATCCGCAATGTTGAAGTTTAGATACTATATATGATTAATTACCTAGCAGAATTAGCTATTAATACTTATCAAAATCTGTAAAAAATAGCAATTACGTTTTATACCTCAAACTCATGCAAGATCAAATATCATATTGGACAATTGATGGTCCCAGAAAGATAGAAGACTTACTGTGGCTATAGCAGCATGAGTGATATGAAGTACATCAACAACAGCAACCGCTATTCCATCTGTGTTCAACCATTCATACTTGTCATAAACTATAATTGAAAAATCATAAGAACTTCTATACAACCTTTTTCTGTGATTGTGAGTATAAAATACCTTTATCAACAACAGGAAGGTGTAGAAATTTTCCATCATGCATGATATGCAGAGCATCAACAATGGGTGTATCCACTGTTGCACATTCGGGATTTGGGGTCATCACCTATGATTTAATTGGAAAGCATAAGATTATTTTATTATAGATCATAGGAAAAGCAGAAACTTGTAAAATTTTCAATAGCGGGAAAAATCCCAATGAGAAAATCACCTTCTCCACTGGAGTGGACTCTGGAGGAAGATTTTGTGCTATTACCCTCATCAAGATATCCTTTGATCTGAGAGAAAATTAGCGAGCACCTATCAGAATTCATGCTTTATATAGCCATATAAAAATTGTAGAAGTTTGCATAATTTCTTTTTAGGACCCAAAAGAAATTTGCAATGTCAATTCAATAAAGAAGATGCTCACGTTAAAATTCCTCGTGGTTTGTTTTCAACTGCTACAACAGCAGAGCTCATACGGTACTCAACCATCTTCTTTGTTGCCATTAATACTGTGTCAGTTGGCGAGACAGTTGCAATCCTGACAATGCCACAATTGGTAATCCAACTTCTATTGTTAATGTTGGGAAATTTATTTTTTCAAAACTAGCCACATAATATACAAAATAAAATCCACGTTAAAATTCCTCGTGGTTTGTTTTCAACTGCTACAACAGCAGAGCTCATACGGTACTAGCTTTATCCTTGGTAGTCACAGAAACTCAGTTCTTCTTCTACTGCTGCTCCCAATACATCTATTTTATAAACTGAAAGAAGGGTATAAATAATTATCAGTTATCATTCCTCCTCAAGTATGCTAACATGCTTAATCCGGCAATTAGTGCAGCCCCTGCAGGTAAAGCACTGTATGCTGAAGCCCACACATCCGATTGAGCATACTCTACACCTCCAGATTGTGATCCTCTCCTATGACCTTGTGTTCCTGAATGATCTAAATGCAACTTTAATACCTGTTAAAAAAAATTTAAAGGAAGGTTAAGGAGAAAAAATATTTGCTTTGGGTAACTTAGCTTCCTTCAGTTTACTTGTGAAATAAGCACTGAAAGGACCATTCTTACCTTCCAACCGGCTAACCTTGCATGGTCCACAGCTGCAACAAGATCACTATCTGATGCAAGTACAACGTTGTCATGATCTTCATCTTCATACTGAAAATGTGGTTGTCCATGAGCTCATAAGTAGAAACTGAGAATCCAAATAAGAAATAAGATATTGATTATATACCAAAATATGAGGCAAGTTGTTGCGGTCAATTTCATCCCCCACCCTCTGAAGGATTGCAGTCACAAGATCAGTCAAACTCTGTGTATCTGAACTCCAGAACCAGTTTAGAGAAATTCAGTTAAGAGATGTTAATTCTTAAGATGTGGATAATGGAAGCCTAAATTAAAGATAAATGACAAATCAGTAATGTCTAGCCAAAATGATAAATCTAACTAGTTCTATCAGTAGTTTCTTATAATAGAGATCCAAAGGTTCAAATTCTATGCTGTATTTATAGAATGCATGCCGACGTGACAAGCAGAAGAAGAGGCATACCACAATTGAATCTATGCATTCGACCCTTCTTATCTTGAATTTTGAAAGCAAAGGTATTAGGCACGATTGACGAAGGGTAGGGAAGTGATCTTGTTGTCTCAATGCTTTCAGAAGCCAATTTGAAAGAACTATCACTGAAACATGACAAATAATATGCATGTAAAATAAACACATACAATTAAAAGTGTAATATCATCTTAAGGGCAAAAGGTGTTTAACCTTTCTGCATCTTCCTCCTCATCAGGAGATAAAGCCATAGCAGAATCCCAAAATTTTTGCATCATATTGGGTGACGAATCATTACTAACCCCGGCATTGCTTCCCACCTAAAGACAGCAGGGAACGGTGATACCATATTGTTCTCCACTAATTAAAAGAAATACTGGGTTTTGAAAAAGGAATCCGCAATGTTGAAGTTTAGATACTATATATGATTAATTACCTAGCAGAATTAGCTATTAATACTTATCAAAATCTGTAAAAAATAGCAATTATGTTTTATACCTCAAACTCATGCAAGATCAAATATCATATTGGACAATTGATGGTCCCAGAAAGATAGAAAACTTACTGTGGCTATAGCAGCATGAGTGATATGAAGTACATCAACAACAGCAACCGCTATTCCATCTGTGTTCAACCATTCATACTTGTCATAAACTATAATTGAAAAATCATAAGAACTTCTATACAACCTTTTTCTGTGATTGTGAGTATAAAATACCTTTATCAACAACAGGAAGGTGTAGAAATTTTCCATCATGCATGATATGCAGAGCATCAACAATGGGTGTATCCACTGTTGCACATTCGGGATTTGGGGTCATCACCTATAATTAAATTGGAAAGCATAAGATTATTTTATTGTAGATCATACGAAAAACAGAAACTTGTAAAATTTTCGATAGTGGGACAAATCCCAATGAGAAAATCACCTTCTCCACTGGAGTGGACTCTGGAGGAAGATTTTGTGCTATTACCCTCATCAAGATATCCTTTGATCTGAGAGAAAATTAGCGAGCACCTATCAGAATTCATGCTTTATATAGCCATATAAAAATTGTAGAAGTTTGCATAATATCTTTTTAGGACCCAAAAGAAATTTGCAATGTCAATTCAATAAAGAAGATGCTCACGTTAAAATTCCTCGTGGTTTGTTTTCAACTGCTACAACAGCAGAGCTCATACGGTACTCAACCATCTTCTTTGTTGCCATTAATACTGTGTCAGTTGGCGAGACAGTTGCAATCCTGACAATGCCACAATTGGTAATCCAACTTCTATTGTTAATGTTGGGAAATTTATTTTTTCAAAACTAGCCACATAATATACAAAATAAAATCTATGTATGGAACAAAAAAACAGAGAAGATATTACCTACTTTGAATTCTCAGGAATGATCGTAGACAAAAAGGGCCTAAACATTCGATCTCGAAGTGTTTCAATGAATGTGTTAGGACCTGTTTATCAAGCGAAAAATAAATAAATAAATGAAAGATTCATGTCTTTGAAAGAGACCAAGTAAACCAACATCATTCAACTGCAATAGACAAGAAGGTATGCTGGAGAATTTTTTTTAATATACACTCCACAAACCAGCAATAGATGCCCCCCATTGTTTTTCAACACCTTCAACAGCAGCTGCAATGGCCTTTCCTTTTTCAGCTGCTCTTTCCATGCGGGCAATAGCATCGTATAAACACTTTGCTATATCAAGCAAAGCAATGACCTCTCCACTCTCCACAATAGGCAAATGTCTGAATTTTCCTGTGGTAATATCATGACCATATTCAATGTGAAAAATTTAGGAAAGAACACTGGAAAAATAATATGTTGTGGTCTTTCTGATCAATACTAACCTAGCACCATCTTTTGCAGGGCTTCTACAGCAAGAGTGTCAGACAGTACAAAAACTGGATTTCTAGTCATAACCTTGGAAACAGGTGTCTCCGCAAGATTCACCTCGCCAGCAATAACCCTTGTTGCTATATCCTTCAACCACAAAAAGGAATAATCAAACACAAACCAAATTTAGACATAAGATTAAAGAAAAAGCAAGTGTAGTACGCAAGTCTTCTTTTGCCCAGCTATGTATCACAAAATTGATTACAATCAAACCTTGTCTGTCAGGATTCCACAAAGTAATGCATTTGAGTCAGTCAGTAACAAAGCATCAACTCTACGAGCAGCCATCCTACGGCAAGCTTCATAAATACTTGTAGTTTCAGGTACTGTCAGGGCCTTCGACAGCCTCAATCGCCTCACCTTACGTTCTCCAGATACTCCCCTATTCCAAATACAAGTGGAAGTAAATAAATATCGACAAAGTTTTAATTAAAAAGTTTCATCGTTATATTCGTCTTGATTTCTGTCAATGTGGCAGAGTGAGTTGCATGCAGGAGCATTAATGCTATGCCTTGTAAGATCAATTAGGTACCTTATCTACAAAAGAGTAGTCTCCTTAATCATCTTGTATATATAAACAATAGTTTCTGCTCTTGATATCCGGAATACAGAAAAAAGGCCTCGGTTTCGAAATTATTTAAATGAAGCCTATGGTGATGCTCAAAAGAATGTCATAAGGAACACAATACACACACATATATAAAATAAAATAAAAATACAGAAAACAGAAAAAGGAAAACTCAAGTCAAACAGAACCAAACAAGTTGTTCGCAGCCACATACACACATAGACTAGGAATACATCTCCTTGTGAATCCACAGAAAATAAGTTGGTGAATAATTAGGGCACAACCTATGGAGGTATATATGATGTCGAATGATGATAATTGGAGGCAAGGACGGACCCGGAATTTTCATAATATAAGTTTCTTCTGATAGTATAAAAAAGTAAAAAAAAGATCAATATATATAACATGTTTTTTGTTTCCACATTTAGTTACAAAAGATAGCAACTATAAAACAATGTATTTATTAAAGTGAGGCATCTTGAGTCATTGTACTTTCATGTCATTAAAATGTCTATGACAGAATCGTCATTAAAATCTCACACAATATCTTTCTCAATGAACGTATCAAGTAACCATTTGATACCTTATTCTATTCTTTAAAAAGTAGGGCTTGTAATTAACACTAGTTATAAGAAATTGTCCATTTTTTTTAATGTCATATTTTGATCCTATGTTCCATAGATATGACAGCTAAAATTTCTAAAACAAGAAAAGCCTAGAGGGGGTAAGTTTTTATAATTTGGAAATAATTGTAGCTAATACTAGTATAATAAAGGGGTGTTTTTGAAACGGTAAGAAGATGCGATTGCCCTCTCTTAGCCCCCCTCCAGGTCCATCCTTGATTGGATTGGAGGTATAGATGATGCAGTCTGATGATAATTTAAATATGGTAAAACACAACACAACTTAATTGCCACAGAGTCAGCCCTATAAAAGGGATTTTAATTGTTATGCAATTCTGTTTCTATGAAATGGAAGTGCAGGCATTGATTGAATATCTAATTCATGAAATGGCTGGCTCATGGGTTTATAAAAACACACCTTCCAATCTGAATATCTAATTCCAATGAATCATAACAATAACAATAACAATAATTATAATCAAATGATGAAGAATGGTAGAGAATCTTGAATAATAATAAATAAATAAAAAACATACATGGAACGAGAAGAAGAAAGAGATTTTCGGGAGGTTGTATCGAGGCTGCCATTCTCTGAAGGTTTCTTCTTGAGCTGAGAAGGAGAAGGAGAAGGAGAAGGAGAGCTATTCAAAGACAGAGTTTTCCTTAAAGAACCGCCTTGATTCGCCATCATCTTCAAACTCCTCCCTCACAATGCCACGCAATATAAATTATTACAAAGCAAATGCCTTGCTTGATTCACAAGAAATTCATCGTATGTTAATTTAATCTGATAATTCAGCTCTTGATGAATTTTTTATCACGGCTCAATCGTGATTGGAAATAAGGAATCGTTCCGATCGGGGGATTTGATTTTTCCGGGAAAATGAATGTGTGTTTAATTTCCCGGGAAAATGCACCGACCGGTGATGGTTGTTGGGGGTGGTGGAGAGAGAGAGAGAGAGAGAGAAATGGTGGGAGGGAGGGAGGGAGGGAGGATTGTTGAAATTGAATTTTGTTTGAAGATTTATGAAGTTGGAGAGGGACAACCAATGAGATAGCAACACGTCAATGCATTGCTTTTTAACATAGAAATAATAGGCTCCAATTTTACAGGGGAAATCGTGAGGCAGTTGAAATATAACTAACTGTTATCAGAATTTCCTAGAGGCTTTTTTACCCCACGAAAGAGTCTCAGGTCCTAAACTTTTGAAATGGGTCTGGTTTTTTAATAATGTTTGGGGTTTTTAATTTGAGACAGTGGATGTCACATGTTGATATGATGTTTTGATATATATATATTTTTTTGTTGCCTCACAAGTGCTCGTGTTCAAGCTTTAGTGTTAGAACATCTCCAACGGTAATAGGCATTTTACCTATCTAAATATTACTATAAAGTATATATTTTATTTTGCCTATCAACTATTTCATATTTCTACTCCAACCATGCTCTTTATTTTCTCGTTTTTTATTTTTTGAAATGGAATGGGTCTGGTTTATTGTTTTTTATTTTACCTTAAAATGGAGAAATTATTTGGTGTTTCGGAGCTATCCCCATTTATAAGCCTAAAATGACATGCATGTAGGGGTGCAACTCGGGCGGGCTCAACCCGAGCAACCCGAGCCCAGCCCGAGTTTTTTTAGGGCTTGGGCAACTATATCTTGCAATCTGGACGGGCTTGGGCAAAATTTTGATGCCCGAATTGCAATTCGGGCCGGGCTTGGGCAGAACCAATGGCCAACCCGAGCAACCCGAACCCGAATTGAATTTAATATATTATATAAATTATATAATATATAATATATATATATAGATTAGCATCTTTTATGTCTACCCTTTGATCTACCTACAGGTTTCTAGACTCGGGCAATTCGGGTAATTCGGGCAATTCGGGCTAACCTGAGCTCAAAATACAAAGCTCGGGCCGGGCTTGGGCAGCAATGCTCGGGTTCATGGTCGGGCTTGGGCGGGCTTGGGCACCGCCAAATACAATTCGGGTCGGGCTTGGGCAGACCCCCAACCCGACCGAACCCGCCCGAGTTGCACCCCTACATGCATGTGCCTTTTGCCTAAAAGAAGAGAGAGAGAGGAAAAAAAAAATACTAGTATAGTATGTCGCAATATTTTTGTTGTCATTTTATACTATTTAGTTAGATGTTTGCGACGAGTTTTGTGTTTAAAGAAAATTATATGAAGAAAAAAAAAAAAAAATTAAAAAGAAGGATTTTTGTAACCCTAGACATTAACAATAGTGAAAATTTTATTTTTATTCCTATACTTTGTCTTGATTTTTAATTATATCTCCAAACTTCGAATAATTTTAATTTTAGCCCTAAAGTTTTTGAAATCGTATCAATTTTCCCTCGCTGTCATGTTTGAAATGGAAAAAGTTAAAAAAAATAACATTGTGGCCCCAAATTTCAAAAGAAAGATGCAGATATACTATCTTTTACCACCAAACCACCACCACCAACCACCATTTCAAGCCCTTCTATCTCCTTCATAATCCCGTTTCGCCTCATTTTTACGTCGTTAGATTCACCTCACAGCCTAGTTTTCGTTTCACTTCTCACACATCTCGTTCTTTCTCTTTTTGCATGTCGTTGGAGCTCTGAAAGTTGATAAAAAAAAATAACTTTTCTTTCTGTTTCTTACTTTTCTTCAACCTATCTTTCGGACTTCATATCTTTCTTGATTCTTAATAGTTCTACTTTATTCTTTCGTCATTCTCTCCACCTCACTTCCTACTTTGTCCTACACTACCTCACTTTCTCACTTCTTCATGTAATGGGCGGTTTCGATATGCCAAAAGTTGTCCAAAAACTAACTTCAAAAATTCCGAAACATTCATCTTTTGTTTCTTTTTCCTCCATCTTTCTCATTCTTCTTCTTCTTCTTCTTCTTCACTTATAACATACCAAACGTGACTTTCAACGTACAACCCACCGAATACTTGTCATCACAAAGATATGTCACAAATTATGAGCTATAGCTTTGTTGTGATTGTGTTGTATGAAATTGGTATTATTGAGTTAAAAGTGATGTTGTAATTGAAAGTCATGTATTTGTATTCAAGCTTTGAGAAAACTATTCTCTCTCTCATCTATATATAGTTATATATGTTTTTTTTTGCTATAAATTTTTTTTTCCTAATTTTAAATGGTGATTGGCTTGTTCATATATTTATTGACAATAGAGATAGTGATAAGTTTTCAGTTGAAATTAGAAAAAATATGACATGTTCCATAGATTTAACCCACATGTGTGTCTCAGTGATTAATAGCGTTGAATATGGTTTTCTAATAATAGATAATTTCTTGAGATCTCTTGGTCCAGTTCCGTGAGGTGCAACACATTCGGACTTAATCACGGGTTGTATAATATTTGAGCACGTTTGGTACGTTGAAAATTGGAATGGAATGGCAATGCCTATTTTGGTTTTGTATTATCTTCTCATCACCACTCGAACCACCAACTTCACTGCCACTGAACTCCATTACTACCAACATGAGCATCACCATCACCACCACCTTTCAACACCAAACCCACCTCTTTTACAACCAAGTTTCATTACCACCACCATCAAGTTCCACGACCACCATCATCGCGAGCTCCACCGCTATCGTTAGACCGCCACCACCACCATCACCAGCTCCGTTACTACCTAAAACCATGCTTCACATCATGTTATAAGTGAAGAAGAATAATGAGGAAGATGGAGGAGAAAGAAATAAAAGATGAATGTTTCGAAATTTTCAAAGTTAGTTTTCAGACAACTTTCAGCATACCGAAACCACCCATTACACGAAGATGTGAGAAAGCGAGGTGGTGTAGGTTGAAGTAGGAAGTGAGGTGACAAGAATGATGAAAGCATGAATTAGAATTGTTAAGAATCGAGTAAGATATGAAGTCTAAAAGATGGCTCAAAGAAAAGTCAGAAACAAAAAGATAAGTTTTTTTTTTTTTTTTATCAACTTTCGGAGCTCCGACGGCATGCAAAAAAAGGAAGAACGATACATATGAGAGGTGATACCATGTCACGACCCAAACCCGCCCCTAAAAGTTTGGTCCATGACCGACCTGTACATAGGCCTCAAAACGGAATTTCAAACAAATATTTATTTAAATACGGTGCCTTAACGGAAGCAAATATCAATATAAGATAACATCCATTGAGCTGGTGCATACATGCTGGCTTAAATAGATTTAAGCATTTAAATACACTTCCATATTTACATGTATAATCACAGAATTTATATATAGACCTCACACACACTTACATAAGACTTAATGAGACACAAAATTTCCAATACAAAATTTAAGCCTCAACGCGGAGGCGTAACCCGGTGGCTTGACAGACAGGTGGACCTCAGTACAACTCTAGTGTTGGTCCCCGATGGCTTACCTACATAAATATACATAAAAATGGAGTGAGCAAGGCTCAGTGAATAATAGCAATGTAAGGAGGTTAAGTGAATGAGCATAGCCTTGGAGAATAGAAATGTACATATAACAAACCAACCATAGTCTTATCACCATATTTCAAAACGGCCTCAGGCCTACATATAATACAGAATGGCCTCGGGCCCATGTATGATGCGGTATAGCCTTAGGCCCACATGTAATACAGAATGGCCTCGGGCCCACATAGCGACAGTTGTCCACACATTGGAGGGTATGTAGAACATCGACATGTACACTACCTCCCTTGGCCTCTGGCCATGAATCATAAACAGTTCACATCATAATGGCTTCGAGCCCACTTCTATTAATAGGGACAGAACGACCTTAGGTCCATAACAATGCCATTCACAAGTAACAATACATAAATCATAATCACAGGAAGTAAGTGAAACATATTGTTATACTACTATTACTCACAGTGATGGGCTCCCGGTAATAATGGGACGATGTCTTCGTATTGACCTTCAAACACAATACACATAGCATATCATAAGCACATACCAGATTCATTTCTTTGCTCTTTAATCAATTAGTCATATCGGTTATAAACTCCTTAGTCCTCAGTAGGTTATAATCCATGTCTCACAAAATAGGAGGAATCGATAGGAGAACGGTTTAGACGAAGAAATAGTATAACACTGGTAGATAGAAAGTGAGCAATCGTCACTATTTTGGACATATCTATTTGTATATTTAGAATTTGGGAGTGAGACCACCACCATTAAAAACTAGACTTTCGGGGCTTGAATTTAGGCTCAATAATCACTCAAAATGGAGTTCGAATACGAAAGATATGCTCCTTTGAAGTTGGTTGAACAGTGATGTCCCCGCACGTGCGGGAAACTTGGCCGCACGTGCAGGACCATGTGCTTTTTTAGCAGAATCAAACTTTGGGTTGGAAATGGACTGCCGCACGTGCGGCTCTGGGCCAGTTTGGCTGTTCGAAAATGTTATGTGTTTTAACACTTGTTCTTTCCATTTATAAGCTTGGGTTCCAACTCAAATCACCCCAAAACATGTAAAATTGTCCCACAACATGATAAACTAACATCAATCAAGTGTAATTCCATTTTAAATAAACCAATTTTGCCACAGTGTTCAAGATCAATGCTTAAGCTTTCATGATCTTCAAAGTTCTTAAAACACAACCCACAAATGCACTTGATTCTTGCATGATCTTATTCTTTGGACAATTCTAAAGTTCATTTCATGTGGTATCCATAAGGTTGAGTCTCAATAATAACCAAAATCATAGAATCCAAAGTCTCACTTCTTAAATTGAGTTCAATTAAATACCTACATAGAACCCTAACTCAAATGGGTTCAAATCTTCCCATATTATCATGATTCCATGAAATTGATACTTTAAATATAAGAATTCAAGATAAATTATCATACCTTAATTCAATCTTTGTCTTTCTCTTAGTTCTCTTCAATTTCCCCAAGCCTCCATGGTTGATCTCCTTCCTCTCTCCTCAATCTCTTAAGGTTTGTCTTCAAGCTTTCATGA